TAAATGAATTAAAATATTATTGGTTTTAGAAATTATGACAAATATTATATATTTGAAGAAAAACATTGTTAAAATAAAAATAATACTTGTATAAGCTCTTCTAAAAAAGTGACAAATATTAATATAAAAATTAAAATATTATTGCTTTTAAAAATTATGACAAATATTATATATTTGAAGAAAAATATTGTTAAAATGAAAAAAATACTTGAATAGTTGTTATTTTTAGATTGGGCCAAACGTATAGCTTCATTTTATAAACAAATATAAAATATCTTATAAACAAATTAATTTACTTATTTTCTTTCCTTCTGTATCTACATTATTTATAATCATGTCATTCACAATACTTTCTTCATTATTTAATAAATCTAAATAAGGTTAATTTTAAAATGTATTTCATCAAATGTAATTTGTTGTAATAAAACTTCTTTATCCAATATACCTTTATATTTACTGCTATCAAGAATCTGGCTTGTTGTCGTATCATCTTCAGAATCCATGCCTAAAATTTTATATTTAATTATATTTAAAAAATTAATACCTTCAGAGATATCTATACATTGGATCTCACATATATCTTCAGATTGAGCCACACATATTGCTTCAATTATTTTATAAATAAAATATCTTATATAAAAATTAATTTACCCATTTTCTTTCCTTCTGTACCTACATTATTTACAATCATGTCATTCACAATACTTTCTTCATTATTTAATAAATCTAAATAAGATTAATTTTAAAATGTATTTCATTAAATGTAATTTGTTGCAATAAAACTTCTTTATCCAATATACCTTTATATTTACTGCTACCAAGAATCTGGCTTGTTGTAGTATCCTCTTCAGATTCTATGTCTATATAAAATTTTATATTTAATTTAATTATATTTAAAAAATTAATACATTCAGAGATATCTGTACATTGGATCTCACATATATCTTCAGATTGAGCCACGCATAGTGCTTCTATTATTTTAAAAATAAAATATCTTATATATAAATTAATTTTTTACCTATTTTCTTTCCTTCTTTACTTAAGTTATTTACAATCATGTCATTCACAATACTTTCTTCATTATTCAATGAATCTAAATAAGATTAATTTTAAAATGTATTTCTTTTATATTTATTTTTGTAAATATAATATATAAAATGTAATTCCATATTATAGTGTCCATTTTTCAAAAATATATATAAATAAGCAAACTATTCTAAATATATATAGCATTTTTATTAAAATATAGTTTATTATTAAGTTAGGATAAACAAATAAATATATAATTATCAAATTATGAAAGAATGATTGAGTAAACAATTTAGCCAATATTATCTTTATTAATGTAAAAAGAATAATAGTGTATGATTTTTTAAGATATTGACTATTTATATAGAAAATATTTAATATGTTTTATTTAGCTAATATTTTGACATCACCTTATGTGATTATAATAGAAAAATTTTAAAAAAAAATCTTTTTCTTGTGTTCTGCTCCTGAAAGGTAAAAATATATTGTAAAGCAATTTTGGCTTAACTTGAAAACTAAAGAAATCAATATTGTTTAATACTCTGGTGAAAAATGACTTAAATAGAAATTATATAGAAATTAGGCAAATTTGGGAGGAAATAGGAAAAACATATAACTTCAATTATGATCAAGTGAAAAAGAAACCTTCCATTAAAATAGATAATCTACTAATAAATTTTTATTTTTTAAAACTTAAATGTCCAAAGTGTTTTGTTATTAATTTGTGAAAATTTTAAGGATTTTTTCAAAATATTTTGGACACAGACTTATATATAAATTTATTTACTTATTTTCTTTCTTTTAACATTTTTGTCTTCAATATTTATATCTTTTAAAACTACAATTAATCGTCTTTCAACTAAATCAAAGTTTGAATTTTAAAAACTGTATAAAATATACTTTGTTCATCACCAGCTTTATTATTGAATCCTCTTCTTTGGTCCTCAAGATTATTGCTACTTTTATCTTTAGTTTTTTTCATAAAGTCTTTAATGCTTAAATTTTTAAATCGCAAAGTCATTTTATTTAAATAGTGATTTTAAACTCGGCTACAATATTAAATTTGTTAATTTTCAATTAATAAATCTTTATATTTATTTAATTAGGGTTATATAATAATTTAATTAATAAAAATCAATTAAACTTCAACTGTTAATGCTAAATTGATATTTAAACATTATGCATGGTATTGATATTTTATTTTTAACAAAGAATTTGATTGCAAGCCTACATATTGAAAATATTATTTATATGTATTAATCTAATCTAATAAAATTTAGATAGTCTTATTAATTTTTAAATAATAAAATTATATCTATATATTACTTAATAGAATTATAATAAACAGGGGACAATCAAAAAAGTTCTTTTTAGTTTAAGGGGATATTAAGGAACCATTAAAAAATTTGTTTTTCCTTCAGGGGGCTATTCAAATTTTTCAGGGGGTTTGAGCCCCCCCCCCTAGTGACGCCACTGTAACTCATTAACCATTGATTCCGTTGATGGTTGGTTTGTAGATCAATTAGGATCAATTAAGACTCTAAATATTGGCATAGGTTTTGTAAATTGATCCTCACATCAAACCGCCAACTTTCAAGACCTGTTATCAATCCCATTTCCGTCAAAAAAAAATTACGATATGACAATTGTTACTTTTCTGGTACACCTTTTTAATTTAACATACTTACTAACCTATATGCTTCAAAAAATTATTAAAATAATAATTTACTATAACATCTTTTAAAGAATGTTGATCAAAAATATTTTTAAATCTTCAAAGATTTAAGTCTAAAGATCGCTGCTTAAATTTTTTTAAAATAAAAAATCTTCAATTTTATATCTCTGTTCTTGAAGATTTTTTGTACAACTCTGCTGTCTAGGTATATAGCCATTTTTGACTAAGCTTATAAAAATGACTAACCATTATTTAATTTTTTTGAGGGGGGTAGGCTAAGGATAGGATAAATTTATTAGGAAGTTATCTATTAAATTTTTAAATAAAATAAGGCAAATATTTTGTTGTATGAATTTTTTTATTATAGACATTTTTTAATATAATGATATTGCTAATAATCGACCAAATCTATATTAAACACAATCAGCATTATTTTACAAAAAAATTATTTTTGGATAATTATATGCTATCCATCAAAATTTAATCTAAAAAGGGGTAGACATTCTATCAGTAGACTCATATTCATGCTAAACAATTTACTATAATAACGCATTCATTATAAATAAGGAAGTTATTAATTAAATTCAAGTTTTAAAAGATGACACTTTTAGATTCATAATTTTTTAATAATTGTTAGTAGAGCATTATTATTTTAAGTTATTCTATAAGTTAATGATGAGAGCAATATTATAATTGTATGTAAAAATGTGGAAAATATTTGTAGGATTTGAGGAGAGTTTGCATCCAGTAAAGATAGTGTCATGTAGACGCCGGTTATAGTTAGATATGTGTGCCTTTAAATCGATACTATACTTTACTCCACCTTGGATAGTTCTCAATAAGATAGCAGGAATGAGTGGGTTCTCAAAAAAGTTATGGATTTAACAAGGTTTTAAACGGCTAAATACGAATGTACCCATTTGTTTTTCTACATTTAAGGTATATTAAACATTCATGATAGATATGTATCATTTAATTTGAGGTTCAGCTGTCAATTGAGAACAGAGTTGTACAAAAGATCTTCTTTGAAGATTTTTGAGCGAGATCTAGCTCAAAAATTTGAGCAAGATCTTTGAAGATCGTAAAATTTGAAGATCTTTTATTTTTTAAAAATTTTGTGTAATGATCTTCAAAGATCTTCATGATATTTATTTTTTTACCCCTTTATTAAAAGCCCAGATGTTTTTCAATTTTCATCAAGGCAGGAGGAGAGGTATAAAACATAAAAGAAATATTATATTAATAAAATTGAAAAACATCTGGGCTTTTAATAAAGGTGTAAAAAAATAAATATCAAGAAGTTTGAAGATCGTTACACAAAATTTAAAAAAAATAAAAGATCTTCAAATTTTACGATCTTTGAAGATCTTTTTATTTTGAGCAAATGTACAACTCTGATTGAGAGGATTGTTTAATTAAGTTTTTGCCAATTAAAATCACAGACGTTATCTAGAATCATATAAAAATTCATGAATCGCCATAATGTATTACATAAACATAAAAAGAAATAAGAAATTGTGTAAATTGCAATAAAATTAATTCAATTACATTAATAGTTTTCAAACATTAAAAAGAAAAAAACAGCTAAGAAATAATTATATAATTTACTAACTTTGATAGGAAAGTAACAATTATATGTAGTTGAACAAAAAGAATTTGTAAAAGGTTAAAAGGAAAATTTAATTTTATAGTTTTTACCCTTATCTTCTAATTGTATAGATACATTTTTAGAATAAAATGCGAATATCTTGTATCATATAAAATTTTACCATAGTGTTTAGTATTTTAAATACAAAATTTAAAAAAAGCATCTATATCTGTATAACGATACTAAGGTGCTATATAAATTTAAATCAAGTTGTAAAAAAATATAAGAATATATCACAAAATCTTTTATGAATACGCATTCGACGAGTAGTCGGAAATCCGTCTAGTAATTTAGGAAACTAGGAAAGTTTTTTTAAGGCAGCATCACCAGTACGCTTCAGTCTGCTGGAATTAGAATAAAGTACTGTATTGATTCATAATATACAATTTAATACTTTTTTCCTTTGTATAAAGTCAATAACAAAGAAATTCTGTAAAACAATTATTATTATCTTGTCTCAATAATTGTTTATTTTTCTCTTTACATATTTCAAAATTAATTTATTAAAATATAAAATCTTTGTAAGAATTTTCTACGGAAGTTTATTATAATATTGAGGACTATATTGCTATAATAATGCTATTTTTTTATATAAATAATGAAATGGATTTTATAATATATCCAAATGATATCATATGTTTTTTAATCATTCATTAAAATCATTCTATGATTTAAAATGGCCACCACATGTTATAAAGTTGGAGGTAACATTAAGAAAACTTTCATATTTACTCCTAAATTTATAGATTATGCATACTTTGAAGTATCGCCTTCTTCTCCCTATGCTATTAGGCGCATTGAAGAGCTTATTAAGGTTTAAAAAAAATGTTAATTGAATTAACACAATATTTTTTTGTTTAGGCTAATAATGGGATAGAAGCTAGAGTTATGTGCTTTTATAGAAGAAGAGAAATCCCATCTACACTTTTACAATTAGCAGATAAACATCAAAGTAAAACTATCGCTAATATTCTTAAATAACTCTTTTTAAAGGTATATTTGATGATGAAAATGATGTTGATCGGTCAGAAAATTATTCTTCCCAAGAAAAATATCAACTTAAACTTAAAGAACTCTTTTTATCTAGACAATACGAAACATTGCCCATAAGTCAGATAAGAGGCAGATGCACAGTTTATCTTTTACATGAAACAGAAGATTTGCTCTCTTATCTCCAAAAACCAGTATAATTATAATATGATTGTCAATTTTAATATTTTTATTATAATTTTACTTATCAATATTTTATAGGATACCTTCTTTTATTCTTTGGTATATGAACCACATCAAAAAACTTTATTGGCTGATAGAGGTGAGATTAGAGTTGGGCCAAGGTTTCAAGCTGAAGTTACCTCTATGCTACCAGCAAATGCAATTGATACTAGAAATTTGCCAGATTTAGAGACATTGATTTGGGACCCCAATAATTTGCTTACTGATACTCAAATTGATCAGTTTATGATTATAACTAGGTTTGATAATTTATATTTTCCATTTTTAGATTATATTAGACCTATAGCCAAGCCTCACTGGTCAATTTAATTTTTTTTTTCTTAGTTATATCCATTAATTCATTGAGAGTGGCTTCTATTTCCTGTATACAAATTTTGTTGAATTTTAATGTTATTAATCATAGAAATCCTGAAAATATTGGCCCAATATCCAGATTATATATTACATCAGAGTTGAACTGAAAGTTACAAATAATCAGAAATCTGCAGGTCAGGCCTTAAGCCCAGGTGGGTATGGTCCAGGTATACCTAGGCTGGACCTAAAAAATTAATTTTTTTAAATATTCGGGCTGAGCCTAAAATATTTTTTAAAAAAATTCCCAGGCTGGGTAGAATATTTTAAAATCAAACATTTAAAGCTCCATTATTAACTATAAAAATTTAAAATAAATGGGCCAGGCCAAAAATTAAAAAAAAACACACCTCTGTAGGTTTCTGCAAATAGTGACATTCTTTTACAATTTGTTGTAAAAAAAGAATCCTAGATATAGATACAAGTACTTTTAAAAATATCCAAAAGCTATAAGATAGTGTTGTTAAATGGGTCATTTTGAGCTGATTTTTAAAAATGGCTAACTCATTATTTAGCCAGAAAAATATTGCCTAAGCCTAGAGATTTTGTTAATGTTTGTCTAGATTTTTATGCCTTCTATGAACAAAATTTTCAGGCTGTTTTTTTGGATAAATATTTAGTTAGCTGTTTTTAAAAATACACTCAAAACGAGCCATTTTACAGCTCTAGAGATATTTGTATCTTTTACTAAATGAGAGAATTTTATATACATTATAATTTTTTATAAAATGATCATTACCCATTTTATGAAAACATAAATAAGTATATAATTAGAGAAAACATTAATTTATTAAATTTTTTTATATAATAATATGAATATAGCTCATTTTATAAATTTACACTAATTGATAAAATATTTCCCATTTTTAATGATGAAATTTTTAATTTTAATTAATTCATAGCATTATGGCAGACTAGTATTTTATGGAGTTGAAATGTTATTTGCAATAAGTTTTTAAAAATTTATACAATCAAGTTTCAAATAAATTATCATTAAGCCTTTGCCTTTTTGGGGCTTTTAACATTGTGGCAAGATTAAATAACTTTTCAATTGGAGCTGAGAAGCTAATTGTAATATTATATTTATAAAATTTCCTTGGAAGGAATTAAGTTTTTCAAGAATATTTTTAAGATCTTTATTTGTATTATTAAATTTGGAAATAATTTTTCACTAAAAGAAAAATAATCATCTTGGTCATTAATTGTTAAATCAATAGTCATTGTAGTTTAATTATGTACTATTACATTTAGAGATTCTTTTCATATAAATTTCATAAAATATGGATGTGATAATGATGTCAAACCAACTTGAATTTTCAGATTTACCTTAGTTCTTCTTAACCACAGAGAGTTTGGGAACTAATTCATTGTAAAATGTTATGTAATTTGTCTAATGCAATTGCTATATGGCTTAAAACTTTACAGCAATTTTTCAAAAAACAAATTTAAATGTGATTTATATTTGAGCAATAAATCATGCCGTATAGACTATTCCACCTGAAATCTTCCACATGTATTCCATAAGTTAAATTTCCAATAACTCCATAGTGAACTTTTACAAGAGTCTTTGAGTTTGTTATTGCAGAAGGACTATCATTAGTAGCAACTAACTATAAAATATGGCAGGCACATCTGATATGTCTGGGTAAGATTTTTTTGTTTATTTAATTAAAAGATATTCTCATAATCCTTGTCATGATCATTTAAATTTATAACGTATTCAATAAAATGAGCTAAGGAAATTGGAGGCGTTATCATAATTGTATCGAGTTTATCTAAAAATTTTAATTCTATAGACTTCTTCCAATAAATCTGCTCAAAATGTGTTCCAAGCTTTATACATGATAAGGCACTTGATTGTCTTTCAAAGGTTTCTCTGTAATTTTTAAAATAATTTTAAAAAAATATATTACTCTATGAGCAGTTATTATACAGCTACTAGTAGACCACAAATCTGCCCAAGTACAGATATATGATTGAACTTTATAAATATCTTTTCCAGAATCTTTGAAAAATTTTTTTAAAACAAATATATAAAAAAATATTTTTAATGAATTTTGTCAAGAAAATGAAAAAAATACAAAATTATTTTGATATCTGAAGTATCTTATCAAAAATGTCAAAGAACCGAGTACAAGATACTAATGGATCTTGTATCTTAAATATAAGTATTCGTGGTACTGTCCCACTCTGATTATAGGTACTTAGCTACATAACGCCACACTTTCAATTCTGCCATTTTGTAAATGTAAGAGCTCATGACCATATTTGTTTGTCTAATGTAACATTTATTTTTTTTGTTACTTAAGAAAAATTTTTTTGTAATATAAATGAATTAATGGAAAACAGTAATCCAATAGAAAGATGAAATAGGATTTATTCATTTTCAAATTTCTTTGTTTTATTTTTGTTTTCTATTTTCTTAAATCAACTACGAAAAAGTTATTATTTCAGTAGAGGAAGACGTTGATTATTATCGGTGATATTGAAATAATCTTATAACTCATGATCCATTTAAAAACTATTTACTATATAAATACTTAATAATTAATGAAATATATTAGTTACAGTTAGGGCTGAAATACAATTTATTGGTATTAAAACTATTGAATTAGTTTACATTTTCTCTATCTTGTATTGTTGATTTATATTGATATTGGTTCTAATTTTTTTATCCATACATTAGAGAAGTATAATAAACATTAATTTGTATTATTATAAAAACTCTTGATTGTGTTTAAAATAAATGCAATCATTTTCAAAGAGGGTGTAAGTTGGATGATTATCCGTGTTTAGAAAAGTTTTCAGAGTCGGAATTTCTTAAGTTTTGATGCTCTATCTTAACTTTAATTATGATAATGATATCCTAAATAAATAATTTATTTCCATAGACCCAAGAATATTGCTACGAAAGATGCTAAACTTATATAGCAAATGTAGACAAGAGATCAAGGATATTATTTAAACTTTCTAAAGTAATTGTTGCACTTGCACCAATAAACAAAAATATATTACTTGGTAAATTAGACTTAATGAAATATTTTTATCGTTATACACAAAAAAAGGGAAAAATTAGCTATATAATCTAAAAATCAGGGCTGGGAACCCTTCTAATAAGAGGGTTTGGGTTCTGGTTCAGGGAAATATCTCTGAACTAGGTTCAGGGTTCGTGGTAAATTTTGGTATAAATCATATAATATATAAACTTTATTATACTATATTTAGGCCTTACCATATAAATAATTTATTATTAAAATTGGAATATTTCCAAAATCGAGATGTTAAAATTAAAATATCGATTTTTTATGCCTAACTTTGACAGTGCATTGCAACGCAATTAATAATGTTATTTTACCTTGGGAGAATGTTCATTCCTTTACTCTTATTTTTAATTTAAAAATACAACAAACAAAAATAAATATTCCTAAAATATGTATTATCTATTATTTTTGTTACATGGTAAAATTTTTACATAAATGGAGTACTCTAAAATATAATAAAAGGGATTCCACGCAAAATAATTTTCACCAAAGAATGTTTTTATATTGAAAATAAAAAAAAAATTATGTTTTATATGTTTTAGATAATTTGCATGTTTTTTTATAATAAATTTTAATGTAGTATATGTTATTTTAAATATATTTTTTTAAATAAATAAAAATTTAATATTTGAAAAAAAAGATTCGAGTTTGGGTTCGGTAAAGGGTTCGAAGGGTTCTGTATTAATTAATTTATGAATAAGAGCGGTATTAGTTTAAAATACAATATCCGATTTTTATATTCTATTTATATTTTTATTGAAACCCAAGAAAATATAGGTGTTTTTTTGTCAGGCCACCACTAAAAAAAACCAAACCAGCAAATAAGTAACTATTTTTACTAACCAGTATTCAGTGCTATTCAATTTTTATTACAGGTTTTCTTTAGAAATCTGCGGTCTTTATGCCATTAATTTTATCATTCATTGTTATAAATTCTATGTACGAATACCAGAAAAATGATATTATAAAAGTCTATTCCCTTTCCTGTCCAAGGCCATTATAAATTTCTTCTATTTTATTCTGTGAAAATATTTAACCTCGGTTATTAAATTTTTCGGGCCGGGCCGGCCAACAGCCCAAGCCCGGCCCATATTTTCTAGTGGGCCTGGGCCAGGCTTGGGTTCGTTGGAAATTTTTGCAATAGGGCTTGGGCCGGCTATGGGCCTAAATTTTTAAATTCAAATTTTTCTTATTTTAAGGATATTTAATAGGACAAATATAACAAATCATTCTGATTTTATTAGTGTTATTTATCAAATTTCCTATACACCTTGGGAGAGTATATATTTTTTAAATCGGAAATTGGTATAATTTCACTTAACTTAACACAACGGCCTGGGCACGAAACAGCGAAAATCAGGGAATATTCCCAAAAATGTTACCAAAGATGGCCAAACTTCGAGGATTACTAGAGCTACCAGTAATTTATTCTTTATAAATCTTTTAAGCTATATAATATTTTTAGCTATATAATATTTTTAGCTATATAAAATTTTAGCTTCATCCTCATTATTGGATATGTCTTCATGGGAGGATGATACAATACTTCATAATGAGACGGATGCTGATGAGATTAATTTATATATGGATATTGAGCTAAATGAAGAGGATATCAACTATGATGACTGCATCCTAGATTGGTAGAAAAAGCATGAAAAAATCTTGCCAAAATTGGCAAGATTAGCCAAAAAAATTCATGCAATTCCAGCATCTAATGTTACCAGTGAACGGAATTTCAGTACTATTGGAAGGGTTATTGAAGAAAGAAGAACAAATTTAAATAACGAAATTGTAGATAATATATTATTTTTAAATGATAATTTGAAAATATAAATTAAAATTTTTTTTATATCATTTATTAATATTATATATATATTATTAATTACTAAATAAAATATTATATTTCTATTACTATTACTTCAGCATAAGTTAAGTATACATAAAATAATTTTATGGGCTTGGGCCGGGCTTGGCAAATTTTTTAAATATTATAGCGGGCTTTGGAATTTTTTTAAATATTAAAAACGAGCCGGGCCGGGCCTGGGCTTAAAATATATTTTTACGATAAGCCGGGCTTGGTCCTATAATCTAGGCCCATGAAGGTCTCTAGACTGTCATCCCCAGTCTAGAGCGACGATCAGAAAGTATAAGCTTTGCCATACTAATTAATCGTTCAGCACTAGCGCAACACAGTATTAAATTTAATAAACACACTTTTTATATGAAAAAAATTATCAAAAATGAGTATTTTTAGATTTAAAAAAGCATCTAAAGGTTCAATAATATTATTATTATTATTTATTTCAAAAAAATCGTCTATGGAAGGCCGCGGTTTCGATCTTGCTATAGTATTAGTATCGTGGTTAGGCATGGCATTTTTTAACGTTACCATCAGCCTATCAAGTTGCCCTTTAGATTCAGTTTTAGATTTTTGGATCAATCCAATGTGTGGTCACTCCTAAATAAGCTCTAAAAATATGAATATCATATTATAAATCAGAAAATAAACATTTTTACCTTCTATTGTGCGTACAGCTATCTGATGTGGTACAGATGTAGGAGACATCTGATAGATTTAATATTAAAGATTCTTTCTTTCTATAAAGCTATCCAAAATTCTTGCCATCAATGTCTGCCGGCAAAATATCTTGGTACGTGGAGAAAAAGTGTTTATCATCTTTATAAAAGAACCATTATATATCAAGGATAATAGTTGAACAGTATCTATTATAGAGTTCATTATGACTTTGTCAGCCAATTTTTGATGATGAATCCAAATTGCTTAATTTTGTTTGAATTAAATTTGATTTGGAAGTGGATGTATCTCCTTCCATTACCCAAAACTTTTTGAGATATTTTTTAATCTCTTTATAATTTGAGGTGTGAACAGTCTAAAATTATAACAGTAATACTTAGAATAAAAAATATGTAGGAGATAGTACATAAAAATGATTGAAATAACTATTTTAAAATGTTTTAAATAATTTAGATAAAATTGAATATATAAAAAAATGATTGGTCTTTGATTTAAATTTATTTTAAAAATTAAGGATTAGCCTACACATTGATATTAAATTTGTTTAATATATTAGCTTTAAATGTTTTTTCAAATTAAAGCTACTTGTATGATTTGAGGATAAAATTTTGCGACACATCTTGCATCGAAACCGATATCCAGTAGTAATTTTTTCTTCAAGATTAAATCATTTTTTGAATTTTGGGAAATGATAATCTATATTTTTCTCATTTTCCAAAGAAATTTCGCTATCTTCAACAATCTCACACATTTTTAATAACTAGATTTATAATGCTAACTAAATTTATAATGTATATTTTTAAATATAAATTTCAAAATTAAATTAAATAAAAGGATTATCATTTTTAGATTTAATAAAAAAATATTTTAATAATTAGATGTATTTATTATGTAAAATTGAAGCTACCGCTATCGCTATTTTCTAAAAAAAGTAGCCCGCTTAAGCTACCGCTACTGAAACACTGGTATCATGATATCAACAAACTAAAAAAAACTTTAATATATTTACTTAAAAGATGCTTAATTATGCATAGCTTTTAAATTTTTCAGAATTTTTGATCTAAGATTTATATAAACAAAAGCATGCGTAATGGCTCTTAATTAGACACACATATATTTCATTTTTGTATATCAGTGTACTGCATCCACAGATGTTTATTTTTTCGATACAAATAATTTTATAAACATTATAATTTTCCTTAAAATGTTGTTCTTTTTTTACTGCTTCTGAACGAATAGTATAAAAAAAATTTATTTCAAGCACGTGATATATATAACATTATAGATATTTTAAGATTGGAGAATGTATTAAAACTTTTTTCAACTATTTTTAAATTTTTTTAAATACATCAGTAAGGATTTGAATTTACATAAAATGTCCAAGAGTAGTTGGGAATGACCATCTGGCACCTCTCGCTTCTGACAGCTTTCAGTAACAAATCCACTCTACTTCTTTGCAGTTCCATTATCGATACCCTTATTTTTCCCCTAAGTCCCATTCAGCCATAGGCTTCTCTCCCTCTAAATAAATACGAAAATTTATAATAATTTTAGATCTCCGCCCCACAGAAATAATTAAAAAACTCCTAAAAATGGAGTTATAAGCGGGATAGATATTTTTTAACGATATATTTTTGTTCATTACACGGTATTGCGATGAGAAAAAAAAATGGCCAGAACTTGTTTTTAATTTTTCAGGAGAGCAAGTGTCATCTTAGACTTAAATTATATGAGATCGACTAGAATTTGAATAAAAATTATTTATTAATTTAAATATTAAATATAGGCGTGTAGGCAGCGGGGAGGGCGTAGGGCTCTCCCCAGTCAAAAAACTCAGATGTCGGCTAAAATATTTTTCAAAAAATTACTATTTTATGATTGATAATTTATAATCATTCCTACCTCTTATCGCATATATATATTTCAATTTACATTTATTTATCAGTTTCGAAGCAAAGTAATACGCCACCAATTATATGAATTAATATATATTTCAAATTTTTTTCTATACATTTATTTTATAAATAGTCACTAGTAGAATAAGCCCACTCGTTTTAAATTTATTTATAACCCTCCCACCCACCTATTTATAATTTTTTTTTTAAAAATTTACCCTCCCGCTTATTTATCTGTAAATTTTGTTTAACCTACCCTCCTAAGGTTTAAAAATGATTTTAATGACTATAGTTTAGTACTTTCTTTATTTTATTGTATTTTTAATTAAACATTATCAAATATGCAATAATATTGAATAAAATTTTTATTTTTCATATTGAAATCTGTTCTGCTCATTTCACCTGAAAAATGTTAAAGATTCACCCGCTCATGCCCCTTCATTACTAAATTTTTTTAACCCGCCCACCACCCGCCCAATGTTGAAAATATTTTAGAAAACCCGACCACACCCGCCCTGGGTAGGCTGCTCATTGCAAACCTCTAGCCACTAGTGCTAGTCCTAATACTGGAATTTAAGTTATCCTTTTGAATAACTCATAAAATAAAATATCCCTTACCCCCCCCCCCCTCCCATCCCTCCGCTTACCCATGGCAAATTCCCGCACCGCGCCTGATTTGACCGATCTTTGTATATCCAGTATCGGTGAAATATCTTCATTTAATATAAATATTAGAATAATAATTACTCGACAATATATTTTTATAACTGTGTATTCTCTGATGCGACTGTGTGTTATAACATATACAATCCTTTACCTTTTCCCCCTTCTTGATCTAAATCTTTTTGCAAAAATTTTATATAAAGCTTAACTCAACCAATTAACCTTGTAATTAATCATTCTGTCTCAGAACTTTATCATCACCATCCAAACTAAAGCCATAGATAAGACAGTGAGTGCTATTTCTATCAAACTTTTTTTGCAAATGTTTTAAATTATATTCGTTTAAGCAACCATTTCACCTATCTCTTTCTACACAAGGAGGCATTTTTTCTTCATAACCTCATCGAGAAGTTATAACTTCTACAACTTGATATTTTAATTTGATAAAAAAACAATATTTTCTGCATTTACTTTACCCCCTACACATTTTTTTTCTTCTAAACATTCGCTCTAACTCAGATTATTTGTATAATCTTAGATCTGTTGGAACCTTCGCTAGAGCTTTGGACAGCGCTAGCTCTGTCAAACAACCATCTCTGCACTTATCTGTCGCCTGTGCCTCCCGCGATTCTACCCTCATATTCTCGCTGGACACGCTTCACAAGAGTCGTTACGATATATCCCTAGCTATCTCTCGTTTGGTTCCCTCTACAGGCCCCGTGCTCTGCCGGGACGAGATGGAGGCCTGGTCAACGGCAGAGGCGAATTTGTTCGAGGAGGCTCTTGAGAAATATGGCAAAGATTTTATGGATATTCGCAGGGATTTTGTGAGTCAATATATATGAAATTAATTCGTTCTTTAAATTGGGCTTATTCTTCATTTAAAATTTTAAAAATTATAATATATCTCCTTTGATACATTAGAAAAAAAAATATAGATAGAGGAAAAAAAATAAAAATCAATGAGCGATCGATATATCAGCTGATTTTTTTCTCACCTATATAATTTTTCGACTTACAAAATATATAAGCTAATTTTAAAATATCATATGCAAATTTTTTTTCCTTCAACAAATAATAATCTAATTATATAACGCCACTAGAAATATTAATTTATGAGGGAAAGAGGAGGATATACTATTAATTAATTTTATTTTTATATAAAAGTTCCCTTGGAAATCATTAAGAAGCATAGTCGAATACTATTACATGTGGAAAACGACGGATAGATACGTCCAGCAAAGAAGGCTAAAAGCCATAGAGGAAGAAAAGCGACTCAAAGAAATTCAATTACCTTCTAAGTAATATAATTTCTTATTTTTTTGAATAATTGTACAAAAAAAAATTCCATAATGTGACACTACTTTTGAAGAAAAAAAACAAGCAATCAAATAAATATTATGTATCTAATAATACTTAAATTGAGTCTTTTTGCTTTGTCTCATGTAGTTTTATTAAACGGCTAAATTTAGCCATTAAGATTTTTGCCAAAATAATATTACGAAGCCTCGACGTATTACAACGTTAATAACGACATGAGCATCATATGTCTTTTAAATTTAGCGCTAAATAATTATCTTTAATTTTCTTGACAAAATACTAAAGAAATATGGAAATATGTAAAACACAAATTTTACCTATTTGAAATATATGATGACTTATCAACATTTGAAATGCGCAACGAAAAAAGGCTCGTAATTTGAAAAGTCTATAAATCTCAAAATCGCTCCAGGGTTATTGCATGTCAAATCGATCACGATTCTTTGGGATTTGGGTGTAATTCTATGAAAAATAACTTTGCCCTATTTTAAGTGAAAACTTGGCATTCCAATTTTTTCATACATATATTATTATATCTTAAAAACATTCCCTTAAAATTTTATAAAAATGGGGGTTCATAATTTTAAACTTTTAAAATAGGGTTAAATGGACCGTCACTTAGAAAATAAAAAAAATTGAAATATTATTAATAATAGATATCATACGCTTTATTTTGTAAAATAATTATTTATAATTTAGTTTTTTTAATAAATCTTTAAATGAATGACCATCGATATGCATAAAATAGGTCATTTTTCATACTTTGGCCTATTGATATCTTCAAAAATATTTTTTTAAAAATTGTACAATGCTCTAGTTACATTACTTGTAACTTATTTTGTATATAAAATTTTACCCAATTCCCAAGACCTACCCGAAAATCATGTTTGATCGATTTGACATGGTATGATGACTCCTAAAAAAATAAATCCTGTTTTAATAATATTTTATAAAACATTTTATTTTATTTTCCCGCTTAGTAAATCATTCTCAAACCCCCATGCCATTGAAAATCAACCCTCTGGAAAACCTTGCGAAAGCTGCAATGGTATTGTATACTTTATTATTTAATTTCATTTATTATTATAAGAAAAGTAAATACCTTCATTACTGTTTCAATATAGTCTTTTAGATATTAAATATACCATTTTATTATTCTTAAACATTATTGCCTTTTATTTAATTCCCAAAATATTATAATATCGTTACTTTTGTTAAAAAAACAGCTACTCAAACATCTCAATGGTACACTTGGGGCTCGACCACCAGTCCTTCCCGTCTTTGCAGCGACTGTTATAATTTTTGGAAAACGCACGGTGGTCTTAAACAACCTCCTATCGGTAAATATTTATAGTTGGGGAGCTAAATACTTCTTTTATGCGAGGTTGTATTATTTTCAGAGTTTAAAACTCTGGACGAAAATAACCTGTTTCCGATTCTTGCTTTCTAAAATTTTGAAAAATGTCTTTCTGGGTACTATTTCCAGTTTCTAAATTTGGAGCGGTACTAGTTTTCGGTTTCACAGTTTCTTGAAACATCCAGAATTGGTTCCGAATCTAGTTCTTATAAATTTTAAAATAGGGTATCCTGTTTCAAGTTTTATCCCAAGGTTACATTTATTTAAGTATTTTCATAGATATTTGATATATTTTTGAGCCTTTATTTCCTCGAATATCCATATAATGAAGGATATGCCCCAAGTTCAAAATCTAAAGTAAAAAATTCACTTTAATATACCAAATATCTACGTCAACACCATATGCAATTTTTTGCTATTATTTACAATTAAAATAGAAATTAATTACTACTTATTAATAATATTGATTAAAACAATAATATAAATAATCTCGCAATACAATAAACAAAGGAAAAAACAAAACTTTTAAAATAATGTTAAACCAAGAAATTTATATTACAACAATATAATATAGTTATTATAACATGTTACCCTCTCCTTACAGTCCAATAACATCAGTGTTCACATCAAATAATTTATCTTTCACCCGCCGAAATATCCACCAACGGCTATTCATCTGATTATTCCATTAGAATTTAAGTTCGCCATTGCCTCAACTGTGAATATCCCAACCATTTCACTCAATTATTGTCACAGTCCTATTATCAACAGGACTGGTAATACACAATACACTTTTTTTCCCTCCAGAATTCATCTTCTGGGCTCAAAGGGGCATTGATCCCTTGAACTGCAATAGGATTCCTCCCTCGTCTATTAAAACTCGGCCCTTGATCACTAGGCTGTGACAATTCTGATTCAGCCCTGATGTCATTAATGGTCCTCAATCGGGCGGAATTTCCGTCCTCATCCCATTTTTATCAACGCGTCCTGAGAATATACTCACTCGGACCGTTATATTTTCCCGGTAAATGCATCTATGTAATCCAACAATAATCAGCAAAGGTAATTTTGCTTGTAATTTTTGACATTAATACCATCTTATCCCATTTTATGAAATATATAACGATTATCGAGCTAACATCTCCAACTCTTTCACATATATATAAGACTACACAATCGATTTAGAAGTGAACTCTCCTACAACACTGTTAACATTTATTAACAAATTTTTGAATTAACATTCCCTAATCATTTCTAAATATTTATATATTAAGTTTTACTTCAACGCTTCACAACCTCATCTCAATTTACTAGATTCGATTCCCTTTCGTGTTACTCCTTCCCTTCCGTAGGTAAACTTCACCCGGCACAATTTTTGTCCAATATTCTCTATGATCACCCCTGATTCCCATTTTCTCGTACTCTCCAAAACTATGACCTATACATTTTTACATGTTTCAATATTCAGTTCCACATCTAGTTGACCCCTATTTCAACAAATCCAACAGAATTCGGGTTGGCCATACTAAAAACTTCTCTGTGAGATCTTTTCTTCCCATTTCGGCTGTTATAATATGCCATCGCCACCTAGGTTTCGTAAAATAAATTATTTAGTTAATAATTGATCTCTAGCCGTGTTGTTAAATGGCTTGATTTTTGAAAACGTCTACCATACATTTTTTTACCAAACAATATTACGTAAGCTTCGAGATTTGTTAATAGATGTCCAAACCTTTTTGCCATCTATGAGCAAAATCTCCAAAATTGTGCTGGCTAAAATATTAGGTTTCGTTTTCAAAAATCGTTAATAACAATAATTTCTAGTTTATTAAATATGAATAACCGTTATATACTTCCCTTATTTAATTCTTAAGAGGGCGAAAGACAAGGTTTGGCTACTCAATTAACAGATCTGCAATACCCTTGCACCGAATGTAACAAGGTTTTTCACAGACAAGGTCATTTTATTGATATCTAATATTCTTATATTAAAATAAACCTATCAAAATTTCAATAAATTTATATAAAGAAACGATTGAAGAAAAAATATTAAAAATTCATTTATTTTTATTTGTTGCAATCCATAATTTTAATAAATTATTTCATGGAAAAATAGATTAGGGTGGTTCTCTTTTATCATATCATTTTATATTATATATAATATTTTATTAAATAATCTGCCTAATTATATATTATAACTTTTTTTAAAAAAATTAACTTTTAATATAGAAAGATTATTTGCCCACATGTCTGCTCATCGGCCTTACAAATGCAACATTCAAAGTTGTGATAAGGTATATCACGTTATTTATTAAAAACTAAACAATACTTCACATCCTCTTATTTATTTTTTTTAAATTAAAAATGTTTCCTTAGTTATCTTTATATTTTCATCTCTTTTACAAACACTGTTACCATTAATCCCCCATTTTTTCAATTAAACAGGAATTCAAGATGAAAAGTCTTCTAGCTCGCCATATAGCATCTCATCACCAATCCGCCCTCAATTTTCCCCACCCTTCCCTCTCTGCTAATCCATCACTCCTGACCTCTCCCTTATCTCTCTCAAACCATCCCTCCTCTAATCACATTTCCAGTTCCTTATCCAACAGCGAATCTAATAATAGTCATTTTAATATCGGCGGGCATCATTATCCCAGAATTATACTGAAGACAAAGGCCGCATTTTACCTTAAAACTACTCCGCTGACAAAACTTTCAAGAGCGCTTTGTAAGCAAAGTTTGAGACTTAAACACGTGGCTAGGAGACCATTTACTTTCGTTAATATGCCAGCTATCAAAGGAGAATGTTTGTTTTAAAATTTATTTGGCATGATATGGAAAAAATATCCTTTTTAACTCTTTTTTTACTCGTGGCATACAAATTAAAAAAGCGATCTCTTAAATAATAAATGCTACATCTCAACTCTGCATTTATGTCTATAATTTTATAAGGTCAAGAAAAAATATTGGAAATGAATCAATCAACTTCCCCTAACTCAAACACAAACTTCGTGCACCATTCAAACTCGCACATCCATCACGCCAAAATGATTCAGAATACTAAAGCCCTCTATGGGGACAATAATACATTTTTAAACGCTGGGTCTTCAGTTAATGGTGATAGTTCCCAAACCAAGACATCGGTTAAAGTTCGATCTCTACAACATCCTGGTTAGCGCAATTTTTTTGTTTTATTTTGTCCTAAAGAAATGGAAAGTTAACAGAGTTTCATAATATTCTTGGAAATCAAACTCTTCCAAAATTTTAAATGCCTTTTTTGAAAATGTTCACTCAAAATTTTTTATTCAACTTTGTTCGGAACTAAAATCTTTTTGTAAAAATAATCTCTTGCCAGTAAATCTTTTGCTATTTATATTAAAAGATTTCCATGATTGAAACCACAAAATTTTTATAAAAAATTTAAATTCTCATTGAAGATTTTTTGTTTGCTTAACTCTTGTGGATAGAAATGAAATAAAAATTTCCAATTAGAATTCGTAAAATTATGGTTTTTTTTAATAATATTGGGATATGGATATATTTCTTATGATATATGAAATCTAAAAGTTTTACGAAACTCTTTATATTAACGTATTTTTTTTATTACATCAGAAGCTATCTCTACGAATTCTTACAATCGTAAGCAAGAACAACCTTTCCAACTTCTAACAGATAAGAACAATCGATTTCATAGTATGTTTTATGAAAATTTTAATTATTTGTTTTCAAATTTTAAAAGAAATAAATATATTCAAGAATTTTAGGTATATTTTAATTATTCTTTGCTGTTTATAAAATTTATCTAGTGGTTTGAGATATTCCACAATTTTTTCCCCACTCATTTCTACCCAACCACTTTTTAACCAATCATATTATATTATTCTATTTCTCATTTGTTTTAGTCTTCATTTCTTTCTATCTACTAGCTATCTCACCTAGAGCTCTCTTCGGATCAGACTCAGGAAGATATTTTTCTAAAGATTCAGACCTTGATTCTAAAATTATTTTTGACCAGACTTATTCCTCTACAAAATTTTCAAGTATTCTTGTTTTTCTTAATGTTTTTTTATAAGTATTATTATCAGAGCACAAAGCCAATATTATTTATCCTTCTGTCAGAGTTTAAATTAATTTTTTCACTTGGAAATATCTTAACCTTTTCAACCTTCCTATAGGGAAAAAGGAGAATCGGATTGAACTCGGATCCTTGAATACTAGAATTTATTTAAATGTTTGGGCCTGGGAAAAAATGGGTATGTTCTAATATTTCCTTGGCAATTTTTTTATTTCCGTATGGCCAAACCATCCATTTAGTTTTATTTTTTGCCTGTATTCCACTTCTGGTAATTTTTCTTTCTATACACATAGCATATATAGTGAAATACACATTTTCATTGATGCAAAGCTATGTTTTTTTTTCTTATAATCCAAGTCTTGGAATCAAAAAACAAGTAGGAATTATAATATTTCTTCCCAAATCTCGTTCATCCCCACTTTTTATTTCCTTATCTAGACCAACCATCTAATTGAGGTGTATTAACAAGTATTTGAAACCATATAGTCTATCACATGCTCCAATTATGGTTTTCATGATTTCTAGTTACCATTAATTTGATACACTATCAGCCTATGAACCCTACACACTATCTATTCATTCAAGGAATTAAATATCTCTATTTTACATAATGTGCAAGTAGTGTTGTTAAACCGCTCGATTTTAGCCGATTTTTAAAAACGGCTAACTCATTATGTTAACTTGAAGAATATTGCTTAAGCCTCGAGAACCGTGAATAGATGTCTACTAAACCGTTGTGTCATCTATGAGCAAAATCTTTAGGTTCGCGAAATATTTTTCGGGCAAAAATATTGAGTTAGCCATTTTTAAAATCGGTTCAAATCGAACACTATTTGTAAGGTAACGTTCTAAATAATATATAATTCAACTAATTATTACTTTTATAATTATTTTATCCATTAAATAATCAGACAAACAGAATTATTTGAGCACCAATAAAGGAAAAAGAAGTATAGAGATTTCTACTGATGAAGAAATGACAGGTTATAATCCAAAATATCTTATTTATTAAACATTGATGACACTCTCATGCTCTAAGAAAATTTGAAAATTTTTTAACATACAATCGATGAATTTATATCAATAGAATCAAATAAAATGGTTAATAAATAATTAAGTAAAATGTTACAAAAAGCAGTGAAAAAAAACAAAAATGTATATCAATCATCGATAAGAGAAAAGAAATTTTGAACCTTCAGTCACCCACATAAGATAAAATCTTATGTTTTTTTATATTGAATATTATCAGCGATTAGCCTAAAATAGCCAGGATTGTTTTGCATTTGAACTCCTCTTTACATTTATTTTATCATAATATTTAAATATCGGTATATGGAGTAGAGTAACTGGGCCATTTATTTTTTTATAGTTAAAAAGATATTAATTTATAGTAAAAATATAGTGATAAATGCAAATGACCCAGTTACTACTCACTTACCTAGTTATAATAAGAGTCTAATTGAAGGATTATTTATTATATTCAGAAGAATTTTGATTTATAGTGCGTATCAAAACAGCTTTATATATTTTTTTGTAGATTTAGACTAACTTTATTGTAATTTTTATATTACACAATTTAAACCGAAAATATATCAGTTTAACGATATAAAAATATATTATGGTAAATTGTTTGGCAATATATATTTTTTTAATCTTATCATTTTAGGCCTATTCAAAAATAATCGAATATTCGATTAGTTTCTAATAATAATTTGAATCAAATAGTAAAACAAATACCAATAATAAATTTTTCGATTCATTCTAATACATATATAATAATCAATTTGATTCATTCAAATATGAATAAACGATTACTCATTATTGAAACATTGGTTTTTAAACCAAGTGTCAAACCGTTATAAATGTTTAGTTTCCTGTTATTAATTTAAAATGTTAAAACGGCTTATGGTTAAATTCTGGCTATTGAACAAATTTACTACATTCCGGTATTAAATTTACGTTGGTTCTTTTCCCTTTTTTTTGCAAGGTTTTTTTTAATTATAAATTTGGGGTTTTTCTGAATTAAAATCAATTAGTAAATATTTTTGCACTACATACTTGCCTATATTTTATTTATAAATTTACTTCAAAATTTAAAATCAATATGAATCGCTTGATACCGGTTCAAACATATTTATAAGCGTTTTGTTTATCTCTCATTTGGAATATTCTTATCTCGGTTATGGTTGGGGTTGGAAAAATTATAAAAGATCATTTTCGTTTCGATGTTCTGTTTGTCTTGGTTTGACACCTTGTTTTAAATGTAAATTTTTTCTATATTGATTTGAACTATTAATAATCTATTAAATATATATATATATGACAAAAATTAAAGGTACAATTTAAATAAATTAATATAATTTGAGATTAATATGACCAGAAATTCTGTCGGATCTGCAAATTTTTAATGATATTTTCTGTCTAAAATATGATTTCTTTTGGGGTCTGAAAAATTTTAATTCTAATTTTTAATTTTCATAATACATTTTTTAAAAAAAAACAATTTTCATTGCAAATTTATTTATAAATTTATTTTGTAAGAATTTGCTACCATTTTATAAAGATAAATATTCTGTTTCCTCTATATATATATATATATATTTAAAGGATTTTTTTCCAAATTATTTTATATCTGATAATTTATGTTTCATAATTTAAATGTTGTATTTGATATATGATTGTATTTTACTTTTTATATCATAATTTAATTAATATAATGATTAAAGATTTTAAACGAGTAATTCGAAACGAATACACAATAGTAAATTATCCAATTCATTTAAATGATTCGAATACGATTAATGTGCTATATCGAATCTATTCGTTTTGAATAGGCCTAAATTTAATCTAATATTAAATGAACAACAGTATAATATCGCGCTTAAATTGAGCGTTTGCGCCTTGCCATATTATTTTTAATTAATATAAAGTAACGCATACTGTTTGAACGGAGGTTGTCTTTTTATTAGCATCGTCGATTCAAAATTTTAACTGTTTTTAAAAAAAAATTGATTTTTGTAAAAAAAATATTATCTTATACATTTTTCATTAAATTCTAAATATAAGATAAGTTATTTTTTTTACATTTTATATAATATTATATTTAATTTAATAATTAAACAATTAGGAAGGAATTTTAATGCCTCCCCCCTTACTATTCTTTATTGTTATTTTTCTTGTGAAAAAACCCTAGTTCTTAAGAACTGGTGACAAACGTGAAAAATGAATGAATAAAAAAGTATTGAAATAGCAAACCAGTTTGCCTTTTTTAAAATGGTTTTTAACGACAAGTGGTAATTTGACAAATTTGCACGATACCGTTTGAAATGCATTAATTGCGTTTGAAACGCTCAATTTGTACTCATTATAAGAACCTTTTGAAATTTTTATTAACTAATGAATGTATCCTTTGGAATTCTCTCTTTAACCCTTGAGAAGTTTTGTAATAAAATAACGCTAGTGCTTAGGTAATTCTTTCTTTCTATCTTTGACCCACATTTTAAAACTCTTATATCTATTAAAATTTTATTGCCTGGATATTTTAGAAATTTATTAAGTTAAACCTTTAATTAAAAATAAAAATTTTGAATATTTAATTAAATAAAAATTTTACAATAAATTTTTTTTAAAGGGTCAAAAATAAAGCGATATTTGCATATATGTACTATTTCTTATTGTTACTAAAAAAAATCGATTTGTAACATACAATTATCAAATTTTTATTTAAATTTAAATAATAGTATAAACGTTTTTTCAAATAATTGTTTATTTAAAAAAATATTTAAGAGTTAAAATGCCCATCTTACTCCAAAAATGCTTATATCTTAAAAAATCATTAAATATACGCGAATCTTTGCTGAAACATATTTTAGGATAAAGTAGGAGATATTAAAAAAAGTCAGATTATATGCAGTTTTTTTTATCTAATAGCAATTTTGACAGGGATACTACTTGACCCCACTAAACTCAATGGTTTAAGAATATTATGGAATTAACATTGTTTATAATAGATTTCTTATAAAAAAAATAATCTAATATCATAGGCTCACGCTTAAAATAATATTTTAAAAGATGGAAATAATATTCTTGCCAGTGGTAATTTTTAAAATATCTAACTTTGGTCCCCTTCAAAAACGGCTAGGTCAAGCATTAAAACCTATAAAATTTGAACTTGAAACTTCTTAAGTAGAGGCTCAACTTAGAGAAATTGTGATAATTTTTAAGGATAAACACTTGGCTAAAACCATTTTAGTATTGGCGAAAGATAGAGAATATAACAACACTACTTGCTAGGCTACGTAAATTTAAGATTATTTTTACGGAAACACCATGTCGGTTAAATAGTTCCATACAAAAATGATATTTAAAATAAGGAGTTTACATATAGGTCATTACCTGATGTTAACTAGTTGGTTGGTCTTTATTAGATATTATTTTAGCTAGAATTTTGCTTTAAAGCTATAATAGTGCGTACAAATTAAGTGTTTACGTTTGACCGTAAATTTTAAATAAAAAAACCTAACGCGTCCTTTGTTTAAATTGAGCTTGTCTTTTTATTAATATTTGCCGATTCAAAATTTTAAATAAGTTCTAAAAAAAGGATTTGTCTTTGAAAATTATATTATCCTGCGTTCTTATTTCTTTATTTCTAAATATTCTTTTTATAGGATATAAGTAAGTTATTTATAAGTATTACAAAACAAAAATAAAAAAAGTACTGTTTGCATTTTTAAATGGTTGCTAACGCCAAACGGTAATTTTACCAATTTGCACTGGGCCATTTAAAAGGCATTATTGGCGCTGCAACGCAGCGTTTGAAACGCTCAATTTGTTCGCACTATAATGCTACATTGACCAATTTTTCAAATTCTTTTTTGATATATATTATTTATCTCTTCTGTTTGATTTCAATTATTGTTGGTAAACGGCTCGTTTTGAGCCGATTTTTAAAAATGGCTACTTAATATTTTAGCCAGAAAAATATTGCCTAAGCCTTGAGATTTTGCCAATAGATGTCCAAACCTTTGTGATCTCAGGCTTGCTTGATATTATTCTAGATGAAATAATGAGTTAGCCGTTTTAAAAAATCGGCTCAAAACGAACCGTTCAATAAAAGTGATACTTGGGGTAGGGATAGCTTCAAAATAAGAAAAAAATAGTATGTATATATTGATGGGGTTTAAAATAGATTTTTTTGGTTAGAAATTATTAACCGACATCTGCGTTCCATAACAGTAGCTTAAATTTAGCGTATTTTTATATTACTTTTTTTTCTAAAATAATTTAGCTGGTAAGGCTACCACCAAGAGGCGTAATTACATCGATAATATAATGCGAGGCCAAGTCATTGAAGCCCTGAAAAGGGACAGTTTGCAAGAAGTCGCGGATTGTTTTAAATTGAGTTACAAAACAGTGAGCACTATAAAGCACAATTTTATAAAAACTGGCCGTATACAAAGTGCCCGGAAGGGAAGACCACATTTAAGAGAAATATTATCGCCGGACCAAGAAAAGTTTATCATCTCTTCGATAAAAGAAAACTCCGCCCTGAGCTTAGAAAATATTCAAGAATTGATAGGTGTCAAATATAGTGTAACGGTTTCGAAAGTCACGATCTTGAGGACTATCAAAAGACTTATGAAATTAAACAGAGATGAATCCGAATCTACAACATAAATCGATCATTAGAAAATTAAATAATTTTTTTTATCTAAAACGGGATTTTATCATTTTCGATTATAGATTTTTAAAAAAAAATTTCTTTTCTTTTTTTTAAAAAATATTAATTTAAACTCAGAGGTTTGCTTATAATATCCAAGTAGACAATATTAGATTTCCTATATTTATAATGCAAACCTTATATATTAATATTATTTTTTTTAAAAAAACGTGATGGAATCTACTGGACACTTTTTACAGTATTATCTTATCAATCCATATACCGCCATCTTTGTTAAATTGAAAAAAGAACTGCGAAATGTAAATGCAGTAAATTCAGCGTAAACTCTTACGTTAAAAATATGCGAAAGAAATATTTATACGGAGTGCAAAATCAAAATTTTTTTCGTTAAAAAAAATCGAATTATATTTTTGGGAATTTTTTTTATAATGAAACTTTCTTTTAAGACTATATTTATTTGTATCTTACGTAATAATAATAATAATGTGTTACATTGTTTAATTGTTTGTCACTAAATTAATTTAAACAGTTTTGCAATAAAGTTAGTCTAAATGTGTGTTTGGTGTATATATATATATAAAATTATGCGATATTATATGATTGTAAATTATATTAATAAACATTTGCGCTGGGGCAGTCACGGGGTTTAATGTGTGCTTATTAATTTATTTTACTTTATTGATGATAGCTAATCTCCCAATAGTGCTTCACTTGTAATAGAACTCTTAATATAATTTTTTTCAAAATTTATAAATGTAATATGAATTGCCCTAGTCGAAACCAAAATTAATATTTCTTATGGGTATTTTTTGACCGTGTTCATCCCTATTAGGTTAGATATCTGTAATGGGTGTGTTTTTAGCCCTTCTAAAAGATTGTAGATACTGAGGTGAGCAGGTGAGCGGGCGGGTTAAATTTATTTTTTAACAATGGGCTATTGACAGTTGGTTAAAACCCCATTGCAGAATTCTAGTTTACCTCGAAGTTAAGTTGGATTTTTAACAGCTAAATCTTTCGGACAATAATTAACCGCATATTAGAATCCTAAAAGGACCTGTCTTTGCCCACTCGAAGTCGGAAGACCTAATTTTAATTTTCCTTTAATTTTTTAAGCTCTATTTTTCGTTAAATTGTAATTCATATTTTTGTAAAACAAACAAAAGAAAGTAAACTACCATTTTATTTTTCTCGTACTTTCAAATGTATAATTTCAAAAATATTATCCGAAATAACTTTCATTTTTAAAATCAAACTTCTGATATCAAGCGATAATTTTTATTTTAAATACAAATTCATAGATTTGATTTGATAGTCTTGTATTTATCAACCATACTTATTAAACAAAAAAACAACATTGTTTTAGTCATAATACATTAACTTATTTCTAAAATTTATTCTTTTTATTCAAGGTCTCTTTATTAAATTTTCTTACATATTTCTTAAACATTTGTGTTGAGTTTTAAATACAAAATAATTTTCCTTTAAAGAAATTCGAACGGTTCTAAACCGATCGACTTAATTTTAAAATTCCGGTTGGGCTGAACTTGAGCCACCCTCGCTGCAAAATATCCTAAATTTTTTCGAACCGGGCCATTCCTACGAAAACAGCCCTAAAGCACTTATTACATAAACATTTTACAAAATTTATATTTGAAAATATAACTTTTCTTCATAATGATTTTTTTTTTATTATCTTTATATTATTTATATAATTTGGCGACATTGTTCTCTTTGTCGATATTCAGATGAATTAAAATTTATTTTTTCCATCTTATAAATTTCTCTCGAGAATATCTTCTCACATAATTTTATAAACTTTTTATATTATCAATTATTTACAAAGTAGAACCTCCTGTATTGTTTTTATTGAATATTATAATTTTATAGATGGCAAAAGGATTAAAATGAGTGGATCCACCTATATAGTACAATCATTATATATAATTTTAATCGATATATATAAAAATCACAGATCTGACCCGGCCTGGCAATGAACAAACCCTCGCCAGGTTTTAAAGTGAATTTTTTTAAAAAAATTCGGACCAGACTTAAAAGATTGACTTCTACAGGTCGTCTCTCTGATAAAAATCATTTTCATTTTATTAATCATTGTATTTTGATTGACATACTATTAAGCAAGTAGTATGAAAAAAAAGTATTTTCTAGTTTTTGCTTAGAACTTTCTTTCAAGAATTGAAATAAGTAAAAATCACAATACCTTTTAAATTATGTAGTTTTAAACTTCTTTTTTATTTATTTTTTTTTAAAAAATTTACTTAAGTTCTTTGAAATAAGATTTGAAATTTTGGATATAATAGAATATTTAAATTATTAAATAATAAAAAAATAAAAATCTAAGCCTAAGTTATCGATCAACATACCCCAGAAAAGAAACGTTAATTCGTTTATAGACGCTCCGGATGATCTTTATTTTGTAGCCAATGGGTTGATTAGGTAAATTCGGCGTTTTCAACAATTTTTATTTACTTTTGACATCCTTCCATAAATTTAATATTTTATGGAAGGAACTACACCATATCCAGTTTATTCGAATGAATAAACTGATTCAACATCCTAGAACGTGTGAAATGAGCCGTTTTTTGGACTGGATTTTTAACATCGAAAGTGCTTTTAACGCAGCGCTAAGGAAGTTGTCCAGGCCCAAGCAATTGCTAAGAACATCTAAATTTTATTTTCGCCTTTCATATTTTATTTTATATTTGATCAAAATATTTCTTTTGTGCTCCTAAAAATCGAGGCACGATCGAGTTTATAAAATCTTTTGATTGGATCAATTCTTCTTTATTAATCTTAATAATTATTATAAACATGATTGGAATTTAAGAAAAATTGATTTCATTAAAATATTTTAAAACTTGATCAGCTGTTGCATCGTGATCGCGAAACAGAATTTGAAGAATATTATATAAATTGAAACATTGTATATATTTTTAACTAAAATACCCATTTTATACATTCCATTTTTCATCTATATAATAGCTGAAATATTGGCGATGTTATAATTTCTTATCATAACTTTATTCTTAGATTAGGAAAATTATTACTGTTTTTTCCAGTTGATGATAAAAATGACATAAGTTGTGAAAAATATTACTTTTCTCATTTTCTTAAATTGCGTTATAGTGCGCACAAATTGAACGTTTCAACGCAGCTTTCCAAAACGCAAATAATGCATTTTAAATGCATTCTTTTAAATTTGGCACATTTCCGTTTTGTATTTTAAATTTTGAAGTGATAAAATTGATAACATCTTATAAAGAGTAAGAATAATTATATTTAATGACACAATAATATTTTTAGCCCATGGAATGATGATATTACAAAAAGATTAGCTGAACTGATTGAACCAGGAACCAAGAACATACTGACCATAATAAAAGGTTCATTGTTATGGAACAATTATATGTTATTGGTTCCAAAGAATATAATTAGCTTAGCTTTGGAATTTCCTAATTTTGATACCAGCGCTTTATATATAAGTAAAAGATTGAAAAATTTTAAAGATCAGTTAAATAAGGAGAAACTAAGGAGGCCATCGGGTTCAAAGGCTTGCAAGCATGAATACAAATATAGGAAATATATAAATTTTATGCATAAACCCAACATCTGTCAATTTAGATGGTGTGTCACCCTCAAACACGATAAAACCTAAAGTGACAAATGATATTAACAGGTTAATAAATGTATTGGAAAAAATCTATCTCGGATTTTTTATCTATGATTCATTTATATTTATTTAGTTAAGTTTAAACAACCAACTATTATTTAAAATTGAGGTTTTAAGTTTCCTATATCAACTAAAGGCAAATGTTACTTTAATTAGATATATATAATAGCATTATATAAATGATATTTTATTATTTTATATATTAATGATGTTTTTGTATTTTAAAATGATGTTTTTGTATTTTAATATTTACTTGTAATATTTATATTTACATGTGTAATATTTATGTATTTTATATTTACAAGTGATGTTTTTATTTAATATTTTTGTATTATATTACATATTTTTAAAATTAATATAATTTTTATATCATTTAATAACATACATTATGTATAATAAATAAATTTATTACAATATAAATAAACAAATTTAATAATTTAAATAATCTTTAAATTTATTTCTAAGAATTTTTGATTCCATTGAAGAAGAATTATTTTCTCTGCTAAGTAATGATGGTCTAGCATTAAGGTTTACCATTGTTGTATCTCTATGATGGTTACATAATTTTAGTATTATAAATACGTAAGATGTTTAATAATTATATATTTCAATTTAACTATTTGTAGTACCTGTATCATCATTGGAAGCTGATCCTTCTATGTTGACGATTATGTTGTGTAAGATACAGATTGTTTTTATGACTATTTATATGATAGCTAGGCCAATTTCTATTGGCTTAATCAGAAACTCAGATTTTTTTAAACAATTCCCCCAAAACTCCTTTCTATGCCTACACTGGCATGGAATAACCTCACGTTGAATTCCATTGTTAGATTTTTTGGGGTAGGGCTTCAACAGACATTACAAATAGCATGGCTTCATTAAAACTGGAAAGGGCTTGAGAGCAGGCAGATCAAGTGTATTGTTCACCAATTCTATTATTTATATTCCTAGAATATTTTAAAATTAATATAATATAACCTTTATATAAAGAGCTCTTTCATACTCCGCCATCACTCTGCTTTCCATATGCTCCCACATATATAAAAATAAATTTTCTGTTGATATCTGTTAAGGTTAACAGGTTAATTGAAAATCTATGTTTAAAGTCATAAGATTATGAGCCTCTATTTTGAGGGCTCTTGATATAGATATGTTTACCATCTATTGCCCCAAAACAATTTTATAATCCGGATTGAAGGAGGAATTCTTGGGAAATCTAAAGATATAATATAAATATATATTTTCTTTAATTTAATATAATAAATTTACTCTTTCCCATTCATTTTTATTGGGCTTAGGGATATATGTATGTACATTTGGCTGTGCATTGATTTTCACAATGTTGGCTATACAGGATTTTGAAATCCTTGAACTATATGCTAATTGTGCAAAACCAATAATTAAATATCTTATGTATAATTTACTAATGAATTAAATTTATTTTACCTCAAGGTAATAAATAATCTGTCTTCAGATCAATTTGTTTGTTAAATTAGTAATTTTTGGATTTATATCATCATATATTAACCCGAGAATATATGAAAAGGTTGATCTTCTCATTCTGGTATAATTATAAAATTGTGAATTTGTCAAATCCCCTTTAAAATTAATATATTCAGAAAATAGATTTTTTTTAACATATATTAACGATGTTTTATACCTCTGTTAATTATATAGCAAGCATTTTTTTATTTAGAATTTAGACGTTTCATATTGAAAAAAATAAAAGTTAACTTTTTTATTTGGATTTTGAAACGCTGCCTTGAAACTTTGCTCACTATTATTAAATATATTTAACAAAATAAAACAAATTTTATAGGAAAATGCGAAGAAAATTGAATCAAACAATTGTCAAGAAATCGTGTCGCCGAATGGGAATACTTGTAGGAATATAGACCATAGATTCTTATAAAAAAATCAATCATTCATTTCATATTCTATATTTTGTTAAACTTTTATGTATCAATGTTTTTTCTTTTGAAAATGCCTCCTTGTTTATATTGGTTCTAATTTAACTCTCCACTTTTGGTTGGAATTGAGTTAATGCCTTAGGCCTATCCTTCGAGTGACTGATATGTTTTAAATTATATAATCCATCCTTTTTATAGATATTGCACCAATTATATTATATTTATAATGCAAATCCTTTTTTTTAAAAGCCTTAATAATTAATCATTTTTTATCTTCAATGATTATGATAAACATTGAAATTCTTCCTTTCACATTTTTTAAAATATTATTTAATTTTTATAGGATAAGTTATTTTCATATTTCTTCAAAAATTAACTCACTCTTGACTAAGATATCGATGTTTAGCCTCACTTCCAAATTATAAGTGTAGATTAGATGATATTCATATAGATATTATTTAAAATTTAGTCTTGAAGCCCTTTTATTAGTTAATGCTAAAATATTTGATGAAATTTTTTATAACAATTTTTTTTGTATAATAATTTATATTATTATTTTTTACTTGAATTTATATAAATAAATATTATACTTTCGGATGAGCACAAAATTTATTTTTAACAAATGTGATCAGTGTTTAAAAAAAAGAATCCCATAGACAAACGAACCGGGTTTTCAAATTATTTCCATTTCTTTTAAAAAATAATAATTTATTAAATTTAAAAAATGGAGAAGGGGAAACTGGCTTACTCGGACTCTGGAAACACTACTACGGAGAAAAAAAAGAAATAGTATTTGAAAGTTTTTAAAATATATTACGCGAATCTTAATCTCTTATTTAGTCGATTTATTTCTCCTCCTCAAATTTTACTAGAAAAAAAATACATCTGCAGATTCTGGAAGGAATGACAATGATTAAGAAGGGGACCTTTTTTCACACATAACTCTTTTTAATTTTAAATAAAATTCTACTAACAAAAAAACAAAATTTATTATTATTCTTGAAAACCTATATTTTTTGCGTTATTTGAAATGAATCAATATTTTATGTCAGATCGGTCGGATAGTTTTTTTTACAGAGCTCTAAAAATGTATATCAAAAAAAAATTCATTTATTTTATCTATATCAGCTCAAAAAGTTGGGGTTGGTGTGCTTTATATCTTTAAAAATCATATGTAATTCTCTCAATATAAACTTTCGAAAATGATGTCAGTTTTTACTTTAGGGCTGTAATACAATATTAAACGATTTATTAAGATAGGTGAAATATCTTATTTATTGTCATAATTTTAATATTAAATATGCATAATTTTCATAAAAGAATAATAATTTTTTTTATTTAAAAAAGGTTGTTAAGAGTTTTTGCATAAATAAAATTATCTTGATTCAAAAATAGTAATGATTTCTTGATATATTTAGAAATTGTTTCTTCAACGAAAGTAAAGTTCCCACAATTTGCAATGATACAGCCCCATAAGTTCAGCTTAGTCAGCCAGAATGATGTGCTTCATTTACCTTGGGTACATTATTATCTTAATTGTTAATAGAGGTTTTTTTAAACCTAATATTTAATTGAAAAGTAAAGTACTCCATAATTTTAATTACCTTAAAAAATTTATAACCCAGAGGATGATATTCATTATAGACGTTCCCTTCAATTTTTGATACAATGAACAAGATTTGATTCGCGATTTTTATAATCTGAATTTCTTTCTTTCTACTTTTAATTTTATAAATTTGTTGTATATTATTGATAAGCGATATCTTTGCGTTTTTCTCCCAGTAAATATCCTGAAAACTCGAACCCTCGAAATTTTATTGAACCTTTTTTTTAATGTTCAAAAATTTCAAAGTTATTCTTTCATCAGTGATGATATATAAAGATATCAGGTAATTCGTTTAAATATTGTATCAATGTTTACAATGTTATGTTGATAATATTAGATTATCTTGTAAATTGTATGATTGATTTTTATTTAACAAGAGATGATTGATGTTATTTAAATTTATATACAAGTTACTTTTACGTGAATTTTTCAGTTGATATTTTTAAGAAATTTAATCTACTTTAAAATTGGAATTTTATCATTATTTAAATTAATAACGAGACTAATAGATTATTATATTACCACCAGGGCTAAATCACTATAATTGAGTTTAATTTTGGTCTAATCGAACCCAAGCTATCCTTAGAAATATTATTAATTATATTGTATTATTATAATTATGATAAATTATTATTATTGCAAATAAAAACTAAATATAATAAAATAAATTTTAAAAAACCCATGCTGTTTCTGTTATTTTAACAAAATTTTATGTCCTAATTTTTTTGGAACCCCAAACCCGAACATGGTTTAGGGAATTTTTTGCTGAACTCGGAACCAAATTTTTTTATTTTAGAAAAAAGTTTTAAAGCTTACTTCATATAATAATATAGGCATACTTGTTAATCGATCTTTTTAAAAAGATCGAATCACGATCTTTTCAAAAAAGAGGATCGACCATTTTTTGATCCTTTTTATTTAAGGAAATTTTTAATCGATGCAAAATTAACATAAATTAAATATGGTATAAATTTATTGTAATTGTATAACTAACATAAGTATAACAATTATAATTTATTAAAATTTTTCTAAGTTATTATCATTTAAAATCCCCGTCTTTCATTAAGCACATGTTTAGCTTTACTAAATAAGCGCTCCTGTGGAGCGCTTGATGGCAAAGGTTTGTTAGATTCAATAAATATTTTTTTTAAATTAATATAAATATTAAAAATATTATTAATAAAACGAACATTTTGTGAAAATTTTTCTCAAAAAAGTATTTATTTCATCCATACATTCATTTGAAGCATCTACATGTAGTTGATCCTACATATTTCCCAAATGGGCAATTAACCTTTCTTTTACCATTTTGTGGCAGATTAATATAAGGCCAGTTTAACTTAAATTTTGAGTGAATTATTGCTGCCAATGTTACTGTCATACAGTGAAAAGGAAATCTATATTAAGAAATGATAATTAATTTGTTATTAAATAAGCGTTCATTCAAATAAATCAGGTATCTGCAAAACTTAGCACTTTCAAATTTAATAGTCAGGCAAAGCCCATCATCTGTATCGTATTCGTATTTATGGTCTAAATATTGATTAAATTTAATATTATATTTAGACTTTGAGGTTTGAACTACTAATTGAAGAAGATATTTTATTCTTACAAAAATAGCATTTTGTACTGATCAAATCAACTTCACATAAAGTAAAATACTTATGTAAATTATGAAATGGTAAAAGATTCTCATTTTCACTTATATCTGCTGTCACATCAATAGTAGATATATTATCTTCTAAATCTATAATGGAGGACATTATTAAAACCTAGAATTTATTTATATTATATATACTATAATTAGATAAATTAGGCTTTAAATCTCGTTCTAGATAAAATTTAGAAAATTGATGAAATATAAAATATAGTGGAATGGAAGTTGATAAAATATGATGTAGATAGATATTTTTTAAAAAAATTAATTTAATTTTCACAATTTTTATTTTATTTATTCCTTTTTAAGTAAAAAATTAATTTTTAAAAGGATCGGGATCGAATATTAAAAAAAATGATCTCGATCAAGATCCTCAATTTAATTCAGGATTATCAATCCGGGAAAATTGACAAATTTAGGATCGAATCCAGGATCTCTGAATATAAATTATTAGTAACGGTTTCACATCTCATTTTAATGTATTCGACTTGGTTTCAAATAAGGACAAATTTTGGTTCGTGTTAGGTTCCATTTGTTTATTTTGAAAATTATATTATTTAATCTGAAAAATCACCATTAGACAATGGTAGAAAAGAAGAAAATGATAGTTGAAATACTTTAACAAAACAAAAAAATTAATCTATTTTATTTTAATAATGAAAATAAAATCAAAATATCTTAACAATTTAAAAAAAATATTTACACAAATATAATTAATCACATGACAGCTTCGCCGTTATAGAATATAGCCTTTTCTAATTCTTCAAATAAGATTAAAATTTTTATAAATATTATGTCAATACAGTTTCATTTTTAAGACCTTGTTTAAAATCGTATTTCACCTTTACGTCCCTTGGCTTTTCTGGAATAGATATATTATACAATTTTAGCGTGTTTCTTCTCTCATTTGTTAAGGCCTTTTCCATTTCCTTGTGCCTGATAGATTTCCCTTTCACGTATCCCAAATACCAGACTATAAATATGATGCAAAGTACCATATAAACACCACTAATTATAGCGATAACATCAAAAGTGTCTGTACGGGTATTGATTTGACACTCGGCTAAATCTTCTTTTAATTTAAAATATTCTTTTGGGAATTTGGTGGTTGGGGTGGAATCGTTTAAAAATGTATCAATTCCCAATCCTGATTGATTCATGAAAGTTGTTCGTCAAAATTTACATTGTCTTGCCTTAATTATGGTATTTTGTTGAATATGATACATTTAAATCCTGTTGGAAAAATAAGTTTTATTAAAAGCTTTATACAAAATCAAAAAAAATAAAATAGAACCTTATTTTCTTAAAATTATATTATTATTTATTATAAAATTTTGAATCTTACCAAGAATAGGAGGGTATTTAATTTTTTTAATTTAAAAAACGATTATAGAATCATTTTTTTAAAGATTCCCTTTTTATGTTTGATAAAAATCAAAAAGGTTTATATTAGAACGGTAAGTATTTAAATTAGATTAACTACAAAATGAAAAATAATATAATTAACTAAGTTGGCAGATGTAACTTAGCAAGTTCTTGTTAAATAATTGAATTCATTAACTTCCAGCAGATTTCCCTGTTAGTTAAATTTATTTTGAATTTTCAAAGAAAATCGAAAAATAATTTTAATGATTTAGTAAATCCTATTTGATACATATAAGAAAGATACTTATTTAAACTAAATAAGAAAACTGTTCCCAACATTGATCATTTAAGGGAAAATATAAGGACTGTTATAAATATAAGGACTGTTATATTAAGACATTTTCCCCCATCTAAAATAAATCAAATCAAATCGAAAAATATTGTATTTTTTATATTTATAATATGGTTAATAATCAAATTTGGCCAAAATACTATGAAATCTCTTTTATGAGCTAAAAAATACTATATAAAAATGCATTTGGTCACATGCTCTCAGTTACAATTTAAAATCGTTAGTAGAATCTTTTAGTTAGTAGCGTAAAACTAAAAATAGACAGATAAATAAATTAGATGTTTAAAATATGACTGAGGGACAAAGTAATTTAATAAAAAAATTTAATTGTCCCATTATTGATGACTAATTTCTTTAAAGTTATAGCATAGATGCAAACATTCTGGGATAGTAACGTGTTACAAAAGTTAGGTAATTACTTTTTTTTCAAAAATATTAGGTAATGACATTAGAGCTCGTTACTTTATATCATTTTTGATTAATTAGTTTTTAATAATTAGGTCTGATATTTATATAAATAAATTTAAAAAAATAACTATAAATCTGCTGTAATTTTTATTAGTCTAAATGAAGCCTTCAATTAATAATATTACTTTCAGTATAGTCATATTACTTTTGGCCAAATGAAAAGTCAACACTATAGAGGAAACTGGGGCTAATCGAACCGATTTTTACAAAATCGGCTAAAACTCTTGTTTTTTTAAGATATGGTAAAAAAACAATATATAAATTGATACCTATAAATATACTCCATAATAACGAAATTAGGTAAACCACTGCAAGGGGCTTACTAAACCATTAGTTTTTTTTAGGCTTTAATGAAATGCATTTTTATTTATTAATAATGGTACGGATGAAATAATTTTATTAATTTATTGAGAATAAAAATGAAGCTAATAAATTGAAATTTAATATTGGAGATTTAATAAACATTTTGAACATAAAAAAAGCTTATGATTTATTAGCATATCCTAAAAACCAATCATACACAGCCATGATATTTTCCTACAAGAATTTTTTCATATTAACTGCCATAATATATGCGTATGGTTTAGCAAGCCCCCTAGCTCGAAATTGACTAATCATGATTGGAATAATTTCTAGACAAAATAAATACTCATAAAACTTTCTCAAATTATAAAAGAGGGTTAAAATAAATTTTGTTATAAAATTTAAATCATTATATAACATAATAAAAAATTAAAATTCTATAATGTAAAAATCTTTTGAATTTTACATTAAAATTTCTATAAGCATATTAGGATAAAAATTTAAGCCTTCTAGTCTCTTTAATTTTAAAATAAGATTAAGAGGTTTGCCAAGCTTCGGGATTTACCTAGCCCCTGTCTCTCCTTTTTGGGTTATAATTTTTTTTGATGAAAGATAATGATAAAAATATGGAAGAAATTAGTGCTAGTACTCATTTTCACGATAAGAAAAAACGTTTTTTTCTGGGGAAGATAGGCTTTATTAAATTCTTTTAGGTGTAAACAATTTTATAATGCACCCTTACGACCCTCTGCACTTATTGAAATAGTGTTCATTATGCTGAGAAATGAACGATCTTAAAAACAATCGCCATTAAAATTGTTGAAAAATATTATCAATCTAATTTTTAACCATTTTATATTTTTGAATTTTGGGATTTGCATAATAAATATAATATAAAGTTGTAATAAAAATAAAACATTTTGTTCCATCTTTTTCTATTTGACACTTTCGGTACTATAAAAAAATTAATTAACAGCGCTTTTTTTAGATATGTGTTAATTTTGAAAGTGTAGTTAAATAGTGGAAAAATCCTTAATAATATTTTTTGGGCTTAAAATTTATTCAGCGTTTACTTTATCATTCTCTTTAAAAGTATGTACTATCTAGAATCGCCGAATCTTTAGACTGACATATAGACCATGAGTATATTATATCGCATAAATTTATAATTTTTTTCATGAAATCTCTTTTTCCGCAAAGTTCTAACCTTCAACTTTATTATTTGTAGTAATGTTATCTTCATTTTCATATAATTATAGCCTTTGCAGAATGCATTTCGCTATTGACCCACTCTTTTAGCAATATATATATATCAGTACAAGATAATTATTTGGACTATATTGATCAGTATTAATACAAACATTTTAAATTATTTATCTATGTGGATGTGTGGGAGGTTGATGTGAATCATCGCATCGTGTATAAATATAGAATTTCATCATTGTTCAATACATTATTACAGTCTTATCAACGAATCAAATTTTTGGATAGTTTAGATTAATTCGACTAGAATCGATTTGAATATATAAATTTGAATAGAAGTTACTAGTGAAGCAAACTGTATATTGGTTTGTATGTTCATTGGTGTGATTGTTGTTTGATTTTGAAATAAAAATTTAGAATTGGGAACTTTTCTATCCTTGTAACTTCATACTTGGAGATGGACACCATTGTTCAAATTCTCTGGCATTTATTTAAGTTGGTCAATATTTTGATTATTTTAAAATCCCCCCCTCCTTTTTTTAAATATAAATTATCATATATTTTTTTCATCGCCTTTTCTTTTATAATTTTATTATTCCTATTTTATTTTATATCTGGACATATTTATTCCTAGGTCTATTCAAAAGCAAATACAAATTGGATATTGAATTGTTCGTATTCAGCATTTTGAACGAATAGAATAATTTACTACTTCGTATAGGAATAGTAAAATATATTATTCTTATTTTATTCATGATTCGAATACAAATTATTCAATTCGTATTCGATTACTTTCTATCGCAATTTCTTTTTTTTTATAATAATTTTATATAAGCACGAAATTTGTGTCTTAGAGCGGCTCTATCTGAGCCGATTTTTATAAAATGACAAATCCAATATTTTAACAAGAACCATATTAAGTCCTAAAAATTTTGCTCATGGCACAAAGGTTTGGACATCTATTAGCGAAATTTCAAGGCTTAGGCAATATTTTTCTGGCTAAAATATAGGGTTAGCCGTTTTTAAAAATCGACTCAAATCGTGTCGTTTAAAACATTACACTAAATAATAATCTTTAAGGTCTCTTAGCCAGTAGAAACTCTCCATAGTCCACAATTAGTGTTGCTAAACGGCTCGATTGAGCCAAATTTTTAAAAGGGCTAAATCAATGTTTTTATCAAAAAGATATTACGCAAGCCTAAAGATTTATTTCTCATAGCTGGCACAAAGATTTGGATCCGTATTAGCGAAATTTCGAGGCTTAGGCT